ATTCCTACACCTCGAGTGCTTGCATGTGTTCCTACATGTACTGGGAGGTGATAATAATGTTTGTGTCATTTTTCTTGATGCAAGCCTTTTGTTTTACTGTTATTACTTACAGGTCTTTAAACATGGACCAGGAAGAGAAGGAGAAGAATTTACGTGAAGACAAAGACCCTACTGCCCAGGGCCAAAACCCCAATGTACCAGTCACAAGTGAAAACGGTAAGGCATTTGCTAAGCTAAAAAACGGTTGTGGGTGAGTGTAGTTGTACGCTGTGAAATAATATACTGATATGTCAGGGGTGAACATAATGCACAAGGATATCCTGGTACATGTAACTGATGTGGGTCAAATACTAGGGTTTGAGACCCTGTTCAAACATGGAGTTGGGAAAATTAAAAGTACATGTAGTAGTTGTGTTGGTTCCAGCTGTCGGTCATCATTGGGCCCGATGGAAGAATGTTCTACAAGCTTAGGCTGTAATCCTGAGCAATTCACGAGAGAGGAAAAGAAGATTTTGATTGTGCTCTGCATTGAGAAAGTAAGTGGCCTCAAGAGGGGCCATTTACATGGTTCGCTAGCTGGAACTCAGATGGACTTTGTTGTGTACAGAGGTGCTGTTTGTAGTGGGAAATTGTCAAGTTGTAAGATGCGCTCAGGATTGGGAAACTTGCTTGTTTGGGGGGAAAACGCCTGATTATTTGGGCAGCTTCTGTGTTTTTGTTGCGGAGGGATAAATGTTTGTCTTTTGTTTCATTGTGTGACAAATACAGCGAGAGGATTGTGAAAATGCATTGTATTGATCACAAGGTTTCAATGATGAACCATGTTTATACTAGGCCATATTTTATTGAATTGTCAAGTAGAATACATACATACGTAATGTGTTGGGCAAAAAGCAGCTTAGCGGTATGTCAAATTACCATATGTGATATTGATTACAAGTTCATTTTTGCTTGAAAATTTGGAGATTTCTGTTGGATGCTGTGTAATAAGTGGAAAACATTTAAAGCAAAGACCACCCAAAAAGTCATTGAAACTGAACTGTGGGCAAGTACAGTAGAACGCTCCCGTAACAAACATGCCGGGCTCCACGCTGAATGTTCGGTACAGCGGTCGTTTGGTATAGCAAAATTTACTGCCGAACGTTTCGTTGCCATGTTGAGTAGCGCCCTCTCTTGTCTAACTGAAGTGCACCCTCTTGTGATACCATGGTTCACTGTTTTCGTGATGTTTTGCCAATGCATTCACGTTTATGATTTCTAAAAATGTATCTGTTAATTATTTTTTTTTCTTTATTAAATCCTAAGTTACAAAATTGATTTCAAGTTTATCCTAAAAGTCGCGAAGCTACCACTCAGGATCTATCTCTGATGCATGCCGTGGCGAATCTCGGTAGCTTGTGTATCAGCAGCGCCCTCTTTAGACTAATGTTGGTGCAATGCCACAATGCGCATGCGGTTTTCTTCGGCACCCGATCGATCACGCGGAGTCGCAAAACCAGTGTCCATTCAATTCCATTGGCAGATTAACCGTGCCTGCCCTGACCATCATTAGAAGACGACTTTGAACATGTGTGGACCAATGTACCCAGTTTCTCCGCTAGTTATTTACAATTAACTCTTCAACAACTAGTGGCCACTTGTCACTCTCCTACATAAAAATCGACTGTTCATCAAGTTGACGTTCGGGAATTACAAATGGCAACTGCATAGTGTTGGATAGGTTTTGTGCACAAATTATTGGGAGCCAAGGACGATGTTCGGTACAGCCGAATGTTCGGTAGAGCGGTGTTCAGTATAGCGGCATTCCACTGTACATGAAGAGAAATTGTTTCACAAATGTCAGTGGCACTTTCTGGCATTCCATCATCATGTGTTTTAGTAGATCGTCAATTGATTTTTCATTGTTGACATTGTTTGTCGAGATCGATATTGGTGATGCAGCTTTGGGTGATAGCCACACTTGAGAGGTGTTGAAAGTTTGGCCAGAACAGCTGTCCGTTTGCGCCGACGTTATCATTGTGACATTTTTTACAATGCCATACATATGACAGTCCGGTTTGAAATTTGGCTTTAATACTTGGATTTTCAGGGCAGGAACCTTGTTCTTGAAAGGGCAAGGCAATTTCTCATTTGCAAAGGGCACAAAATCAACTTGTCCTTGGGGACATTTCAGTGAGCATTAAGGCAAGACCTGGGGCATCAAGGCAGTTGCCTCTGATGCTTCTGCAAAGTTCCTACCCTGGAATTTAAGAACAATACTAATTGTCAATGACTTCTTGTCTAGACAGCAATGTCTCATGTATTACATGTACATGCACTGGTACATTTATAATCAATACCAAATGTGATGCATAGGTGAATAGAACCTACAGATTACAGCATACTGTGTACATGTGTACCCATATAATTTATGTAATCCTCTGTTGGCAAATTTAAAGTGGGTTTCAGGAACCATATACATGTACCGGTATGTTAGTCACTCACTGTTCAGCCTACAATCCTCATTTTTCTCAATCTGTTGGTCTATGTCATCTTTTAATGATGGTAAAATCTGACCAATGCATAGCACTGCTTTCCCGAAGAGGCACTCCGATTAACACCAGTCAATGACATACAAGGGGTGCCTCAGACAGCTGCCAACCAACACCCATCTGCCCATCTGCGCATTACATGTACCGGTACATGTAGAGAAGAGACAGTGAGAAGCAGTGACAGTTTTAGGATCGTGACTGGCTACTTTGTGCCATTGTACCTTGCAGTATTCATTCATTCTCAGTATGATGCCGTTGTCCTTGACCTTTGTTGTTTGTCAGTCACCCTGGTCTGTCCATTCCGGAGCGATGTCTGTGTTCATTTTTAACAGTCTGTTGGCTTGTTGGCCATTCGTTGAGTCATTTTTTTGTTCGTTTTGAACAAATTTACAAAGCATGCTTAACTTCCACTTTTACATTGTGTCACTGTCTTAATATTACAATTTGTTCTCACAGTTTTCCCACATTTAATAACAATAATAATACTGTTTACCGAAAATGGGTCACTTGGGAGACATTCCCATAAGAATGTGCACAAACTTTACTGTCCCATAATTAAATATTCCCTAATCTGATCTGAACCCTAATCCTAATCTATCATCTCTCGAAATTTGGACGGTAAAATTCGGCTTCCTTCTGGTAGCTTGGGCATTAGGGAGACATTGAAATGTCCCCCTAATGACCGATGTCTCCCTAAGGTCGAAAAATATACCACAAAATGTCTCCCTATTGACCCATCTGTAAGAATAAGGGAACATTTATATTGTGCTGATACTGTACAAATATAGGCCCGCTCAACTGTGCATGACAGTACCCATCATTAGCTGGAAAAATAAATGTCGTTGAATTCAGTAATTAGAATAGAAAGTTGAATTTTGTAAAACTCTTATTTCATTTACCACACATAAACGTTTGTGAAGGTGGGAAACCCATTTAAAGCCAGTGTGTTTCGTTGTTAATTAGCCTTTAAATTTTACCCCGGGGGGTACTGTAAAATTATTTGGGTGCACAGCACAGGTCATGTGCTCGACAAGTTTGTTTGATATATCATCTATAGACCTGCGCTGGTACATTTACATGTACAAACACTTGTGCATGTTTCTACCTTTACATGATTGCACATACAAAATTTGTTCTGTAGTGAGTTAACATACAGTACAGGGCTAATGGTGACGTTTCATGATTCTATTCACGTACATGTGTGTATTTAGAAAAATATGTGATTGGTTTGGAAGACAAAACAAAAGAAATTGGAGCCTGAACTTTAACCAGGTAAAATTATACTGCAATATTCCAATTATATTTTTTTCTCACGTGCAAATGTAGTATATTGTGCCACATTTCTATAAAACCTACCTTTGGCAATATACTAAAAACCAACCAGAATCCTGCCAGTATCAATTTCAAAGGAAAAATCCTATGTTGGATTATGGTTCATGAGTCAGCTGAAGTCAACCCCAAAGTACCGACGACAAAAAAAAGAAAGAAAAAGAAATCATGGTTAAGTTTTCCTACCATTATGCGAAGGATTTACTGACCTTGTGGACTGTATAAAATGTGTAAAATTGATAGTCCGAGGAGCAACAGGGAGCGTTGCTTTTCAGGAGCTGACAGCCCAGGATAAATGCTCTTATTGTGGTGTACATGTACATGCACATACATGTACTGTACTGATACTGTTGCTGTCATCCATCTTGCCTATTAAATAATTGCCATTGTTGTTACTTCCTGCCACATTAGCCTACATCCTGCTAAGACTCCTGTTTTGTTTTGTTTTTGTCGTGAAAACCATTTATTTGCGCTGTGGAGTTTTAATGAGCTTCCTAGGGAGTGAGGCAGCAGTATACAAGGTCATCTGGCCTGACGCTACTTGTACATGCTCACTACATCATTACATGGGTGAATTACAAATTGCAGACAGACCATCAGGGTATGTTCAGGTGTCAAGTAGGGGATAATCGGAAAATATTAAGTTACCCCTCTGTCTGAACGCTCTAATCTACCTGAGGTGGCGTAAGTTACGGCACTACATGTAAGTTGGTGCAACTTGGACTCCCAAAAATCGATGGATTAGTGTAAGTTGTGCCAAAGACAAGCATCTCCTCCCCTCCCCGCCGCAAGGAGCCGCAAAATAATATGTGGACAAACTGACCTTACTTCCTGGTGTAGTTTGTTCAGTTTGACCCGATGCATAGGCTACCAGTCCATCACAATGCAGCGTACTGGGCAGAGACACATGCATATATACTGAAGTGACTTAATTAAAAATACCGTTGACTGATTCTGGTGTTTTGATCGGCTGTGAAATTTTTTTTAACTTACACTACGAATAAATTACCATGCAAAAGAAGTTACGTTTATGTCCCCATATACACAACGTCGCAGGGGACGTACCCACTTTATATATCCTGCGAGTGCTTTGTTTTTAATCCAAGTTTCTGATGTGAACCCTTTTTTGCCAGGATAACTACGCATGTGCTAGTTGCTGCATACATTGTAGACTGTTTTCAAGACAAAGTTGAGAGGAGTGTTGGTTTAGGCAAGCGCTTACCGATGTAACACTTGTCCAGATTTCACAAAGACCATTTTAAAAACGACTTGACCCGCAGACTTGACTCGGCTTTTTGCCAAAACTTGATGTTCAATTTTGCTCCGTGCTTTACAGCGCCATGCTGTAACAATGAACTGTATTTTGACTTTGACACCAAAGTAAACCATGACATGCATTGTCTGCATGGATGTGCCATCTTGAATAAGCCTGCTCAAGGAATAGTATATTTGACAGCCAACCTATCTGCTGCGTTGATGCATGGAGGAAGGAACGGTATTCTGAGGCTGCATTTTTCCTGCCAGCGCGCTTTTCGTTGAACTTCCGTCAGGTCTGGAGGTGCGTAAACGTTGCGTTACCGCAGTGGGTCAACTTGAGCCACTTTTTTGGTGTGGTACGCCGGGTGGTGCTTGCGTAACTTCCTTGTCTGAGTGAGAGCATGTTTTGGATTATGCTTCTTATCTAAACTCGGCCCCAATTCAATTAAATGCAGATCAACATTTGCCATGTCTGAATTTACCCGTAGTGAAATTTGCTGACAAGAAAAACAATTTTATGATTAAAAAAAAAAATTTCTAGGAAAGCACCGGCACAACCGCTGGGGATGCTATGCCCTCTAACCCTAATTAATGTACATATGTATTGGTTGTTTAATATCTGCACAAAATTTCAGGAAATTTCTTGATTTTTGCCCAAGAGCACCGAGAATGATGAATCAGGTTACACAGGGCATAATGACACACATGATTTATGAAGGTATTTAGTCTATGCACAGGTACTGGATACATCTATCTACAGGTATCATCTGACACATCTTGCTGCATACCGTCTGCATGCATTCGTCCACCTGTGCTATCTTCTCTTTTGGGCAGCTATTTCTTGCTTAGCATCCAGTGCAAAGTAAAGCTGTCTGTTGCCATTGTCACCAGATGGAGAGTATTTGCAAGCTGCTTTGGCCTTACTCCCGAACAGTTTTTGACAAGTATTTTATAAATGTACATGTAGCGGGAACCAAGCATGCTATCGGTTGTGATACCAAATCACGTTCACGTGCATTCAACCATTTTTTTTTTTTGCACTAGGCTTCACAGTACAGGCAGGATCTGATGTGGTACTGCATTGAAGAGGTTTTGTTTTCATACAGGTTGTGGTAGCTAGCAGTATAAACTTGGCACTCACAAGACCTTGTACTTTGTTAAGGTCACACATAATGGTTACAGTAGCCTAGGTGTAGTACTGCGGGGTACTGGGGAAATAGGTGTTGTGGTGAACTTTCAGCAGTCCTGCAGTGCATGCTGTCCTGCGTGGGGCCAGCTGCCATATTGCATGGTTTGTGGTCATGTACATGTACATGTACATGAACTGGTATTTGGGTACCAGTGTTTGCGTACCGGTACATGTACATGTATATGCAGCAGTACATACATGTACATACTTATACATATAGTGTCAACAGAATAGGCACCACAGGGAAAGGACACGTACCGTGTATGAGTGATAAAGTCATGTGATTTCTGCCTGTCTTTTGGGTGTTCAAAGTGCTTGCATTGTGCATTGTGTCAGTAAAGAATAGCCAATATGTGTACTGATAACACTTCTGAATCGTTACAAGTACTTTTGGGGGGTGTGTGTGGGAGGGTGTGTGTGTGTTCAAACAAGTCCATGTTTTTTATATACATGTTTTATTTTGAGATGGCCTGTGCCATTGAGAGTTTCATGATAGGAAACTTTTAAATTGGTGCATACATGCAAAACTAAAAACCCGGACCTACTCTCCATATCCAAACTTGCATGTAACTGATGATGGTCACCACAGCAATTAGTGTTCTGTGGAAGATCTGATGACTAGTTCATGATATAAGCCTTGGCCCTGTAATTTGTTTTTTTTTCTGTGATCTGTTACAAAATTTGTCTTATCATGTACCTGTAGGCCATACAGTTTGTATTTGTGGTTGAAATTGACAGCATTTTCTGAGTAATTTGGGGATTATTTCATTTGTACCGGTAACATGTAATTTGGGTATTGAAATCTTAATTCGTAAATACCTGGGACAGTTTTTCTCTTCCTATTGGTCAAAATGTGTCATGTGACTGTGCGTTAACAATTGATAATGCCCGCTGAGAAGTGATAGTGTCTGCTGCGTAAATCACACGCTGGCATATGACTACCCTCTGAAAAAAAAAAGGGATTCATGAATGGGAAAAATATGTGCTTGGCTAGTCTTGAGGAGAATGGACGTGACCATGCATGCTGTTCGGGCATTTTCAGCGTTCATTCTCCTGAGCCGGTCTTACCAGCAAAGCACATACCAGTATTTATTCCCTTATTTGAAGTTTGTTGTCTGACAACAAAAAAATTAACAAAAATAAAAGAACCAAAATCTCAACAAAAACTATATTAAAGGTTTGTTTATCTACATTTGTAGCAAGTTTTTACCCCCAGTTTTGTTCTGATATGGGTATTTCGGGAAAAAAGAAATGATAAATAATTAACCCAGTACATACTGGCTATGTTCACTCTCAACCTGCGTCATTACCAAGAATGTTCCCAAGCCACATGTCTTATCCACTACCTGGGACATTGTATCCACCTGGAAAATCTGCAGTTTTTCCCCCTCTCCTAAAAAAAAGAAAGAAGATAACGGAAAAGCCAATAACGACCATCACTTAATACATCCCAAACCGATGCCAGCTGTTTTGATGGCAGCGGCATTGTCTTCAGTAAAGTGGCTATTATGATGGTAATGAAAGTGAGAATGATTTTTTTCCTCTTGTTTTTTTTCTCCCTGCAGTGCACAGTATAGATACAACTCAAGCCATGTTTCTACCCATCGGAGCTTCCATCTCCTTGCTCGTCATGTTCTTCTTCTTCGACTCCATGCAAATGGTCTTTGCTGTTTGCACAGCAGGTTGGTGTTTGACCGTTGATCAATCAAGTGGTTCTCTCAGAAGTTGGTTGTTTTTTTAACTACAGAAAGGAGGAGGGTCAGACTTCAGTGTTTGATGGGTCAGAAAGGTCAAGTTCAGAGTTAATGGCTGTGGACTTCAGATGTCCTTGCCTTGTCCTAACCTAGTGTCAAGGCATTCATGTGCGATCATTAAATGTTAATCCATAGACTGAACTACATGTATTCAGCATGAGGCCTCGATAAAAACGGGTTGATGGAGGCATTTATAGTAACAGGTTTTGAATATCACGAGCTAATCCCTTTGTAATTGCTCAGCTTGCAGTTGAATCCGGATTAGGAAGGCTAGTGGTGTCCCGAACCTTGTTCTCTTGGTATCGCTCTGTTCTGAGTAACCTGGATCCTTTGTGTTGCCTTGTGTTTACATTCCAACATGCGTTGGTCCTTGCAGGGTTAGAGCGAGATGACTTTGCTGGTTTGTCAACTCGTTGAACTTTCCAACAAAAGCAGACTTTGTTGCCAAAATGACAAGGCAGAAACACATGCCCTCCTCCATAGGCCAAACAGATGATTGATTAAATTCATCATTGTGTAGGTGAAAGAAATTGGAACAGAAAAAAGATCTTGAAGCATTGCTATGAATTGTTAGTTAGTCGGTCTTGGAAGCGGTATCTTTTTGGATGCACAGCACTACTGTCATTGCTTTATCACTTAGCGACGAGAAGATTGTGGAGTCGCAGAATAAATATATATTGATTGAGAGAGGACCAGATCGTGATAAGATATAAACTTTTACCCCAAAAAAGCAAAAGTACACGCATCTACTGGGCCGGGTGATGCTCAGCCTGGTTTTGTGTACCCAACTCCCCCACCATTGAAAATAAAAGCCATTTGACAATATGGCGTGGCAGCTCTGTACTTTGAAGAGGACTCAGGGTTGCGCCAGTGGAGAAAAATATGGCATGGTAGAAGGGAATATGATGCCAGAAAGATGGGGCATGCATCCAACTTCCTCTCTTCTCATAAAAAAAACCTAGCTTTATGTCCATCCTTGTGGATGTAGACGGGGAGAGGGTGTAAGGTATCAGTTTGCATGCAGCGACTGAGATGGTTAAGGGGGACGGGGCACACAGTCATACTCACATACGTGTAAGGTCTCACTTTGGTCTGAACCGAAACAAATCATTGCGTTTGTTTTCAAGGGGTGTTAGAAATTCATTATTGACATCAGAATATGTAATAGGTAAAAAATCAATATAATCAAAAGTGCATGGGACTTGTTATCGCAGCAGTGAACCATAGTGCGAAGCTACCGGTAGTGCCATCGGTGAGTCTGCTTTTGGGACCAGGGTTCTAACAAAGATCTCAGGAACAAGGTTGATGTCCCAGTCCGTGTCATTGTACATGTAAACTCAGTAGAGCTCTGTAGAGTTTTTACTCGCTGTTTAGGCTGACTATACCATGCACTTGACCTGTGACTTCCTAGTGCATTCTAGATGTAGAATCCAGCTGTGCATTTTGACCTCAAACTGCTTGACAGACCATGCATGTCAGCCAAAGATGTCTTCTAATGAGATCGTCTGGCAGCATCATGTGACCTGGTCATGTGACCTTGATTATTGCTGCACTCCCCTTCAAAAATGTTAGTAGAAAGTCATACCACATGCAGTCATACTGCATAAATGAGTCGCTGAGTGCAAGTGCCAACCAGTGTACCTTTACACGTTAAAGTAGTTCGTCTACCTTTTCAGATATTCTGTCAGTGCACCGAGTGCCCACAACCTGCGTAATTGATGGCATTTCCTGGGCAGCATTGATTATAGAACAGTGCAGTTTCAGGCTGATATATGAGATTGCCACAGAAAAAGGGACTATCTGTTCATCAATGAGACAAATTCCGAAACCTGTTACAGGATCTGATAATTGCCAGCTTAAGACCGGCATTTTCCAAAACCCATCAACTCTTTTGGGTCCCTCATTTTTACAATATTGTGCCTTGTTTTCTTTCTCTTGGGTCCAGGAGGGTTCCAGCAAGGGCAAAGATAATTCGTTACGAATATTTTTACTTACTTGTCTGATTACTGTTCTCTTTTTCTTCACAGTATTAGCGACTGTAGCCTTTGCTTTCCTGCTGTTGCCAATGTGCCAGTATTTATTAAGGCCGTGCTCCAATGGAACAAAGTAAGTCTTGGATTAATTGGAATTTATTGTTCATATTTCATTCCTTTAACATCAGACCTAACACAACAAGTACTGTACTTTGTACTTCTTGCAGACTATGCATGCGATTGAAAATGGAAGTGTTTCCTACTTGTGAGATCCAAGAAAGAACACAGTTGCATTATGCACTCTGGCTCGTACATGTACAGCCCATGCAAATTGTGCAGAGTGGGCGCGACTAATTTTTCAACTGGATGTGCACAAATTTACAGCATCATCATGTGAGGGGACTTCAGCTGAGCAGAGCTTGCTCGGACATGATCAGCTTTTGATCTGCTATTCATTGAAGTACATGTACATACAGTATGCCACCTGAACTGTCACATTCGGTGTCAAGTACGCATACCTTCACTCAATTGTAAACTGAGTTTACGCTAATTGTACAATGTACCGGTACATGTAGATATGTATAGCACAAATGGTTCTGTATGCCGTCAATGTTAGTGTACAGTACTTTATGTTTGTGTATCGTGTGGCTGTTTGAGAGAGTGCATTTGCATTTTGTTCAGACAAACAAGGGAAAGAATCAGAAATGTCTGATGCTGGTTTTACAATTAGTGTTGAAGTGCGTGTCAGTCACATGTACAGCGGTGTTCTGCTTTTTTCGAAACCCTTGAGGGATTAGGCATCCCAGTAGTATCCATTGTAATAGGCACGACAAAAATGGAACATGAACTTGCTCTGATGATGTCACCCATGACCTGTCCGAATTCAAGGAGTCATGTCTGAAAAAAGAATGCAGTGCAGAGGTGCTCGCTGAGGGTTGAAATGCCCGCAGGTCACACAGTTGATCTAGAACTCAATCCTCATGACACCTCAGCTACCCAAACCCTCTACTCTTTACAACGGTCTAGACCTATCGATGGTTGTACCTGCTTCTTACACCTCACCTCATCAGAGATGGGTCCCCAGTCCGCATTCACACTGAGTGGTCCTTTGATGATAAATTCATGGTGTGACCGCCCACCCTTCATCCTTTTACGCAATATACCTGCACTCCCGACCATCTGTGCCCATTCTACCCCATTAACCGACTTCCATCTTAATTGTTTGTGTTAATAGTCATTCTACCATGAACATGTATGTCTATGTTAGGGACCACTGATACACATAAGCAAAACTGTAGTGTCAGATACATGAATACGTTCATTAAGGCCATCTTGCATTTGCGGCGAATCTATACCAAATTACAGGATGATAAATTGAATATTTGGTTAAATTTTGGCCTCAGGGTGATGCAAATGTGTCACATCGGGACCCAAAGCTTTGGCCATAAACAGCCCTCGTAGTACAGCCTATGTTTTGACCCAAGTTGATTTTCCCTGTGTAAAGAAATGCACTCTCTTGCTTCCAAAATGTGCTAATGGAGAGAAATTCTGGAGTCGCAGCGGTGTTGGCTATGTGGACATGACCGTGTAGTTAAATCGGCACTATGTTTATTTCCTCTGCACTGTATAAACCATTCAGAGAGAAATCGTTGATGGTTGACAATATTCAGATTCTGATGATAATATCTACCTTTTCATTGAAAAACTTTCAATAAATGAAAAAAAAAAGAAAGGAATTCGTATGCAAAGTGTGTCGAATAATAAAAGGGGTTTTATCCAGCTCACAGAGTCTGTGGCCTTTATTGGCTGTGGTCTTGCCCTTGAAATGTCCTAGTGAATATTTGCAAGGGAAATTAGCCTCACCTTGCGCATTATTAGAATTCCAGCCATTCCCAGGATGATCCCAGTTGCTGCTGATTTCCTGACTCTCTGCAGTACATTGTATCTTGTTTTAGAGAAAATCTGGTTTGCATTTTCTGAAAATGCTTGTTTCCTCTTTATAATGAGTGGGCTTTCAGTTCTGAACATTGCATAAAAGTAAATTCAATCATACAAGGCTGTAATGTTTTATCATTTACTAATGATTAATCTCGTTACTTTTCTGCCATCTAGAAGCACCATTTTTTCATTGATTCTTAAGTCTAATGTGTGCTCGATCAAACTGCTGGTGCTAATGAGTATTTCCTTGAAAACTCAGTACTCATACGTGCACCATAGACTTGAAATATGCAAGTCATTGAAACTAATTTTGTAGGTAGCAGCAATGACTGGGACTTTGATGGACATGTACAAGGTCAATGATTTCAATGTGGATAAAAATTACTTCAAAAAAGTCCACGAAAACCAAAAAGGATACATTGTACCACTTGAGACCGATGGCTGCCTTTTCTGCTCCCTTTGCAGTAGACCCACATTTCATTTGGTCAGTACATGTACATGAATTAGCAGTGATACACAGGAATTCATTTCCTGAAACAATGTCCAATCTTTTGTCGAATCTCCTTCTGCATTTGTGTGCAGAAAATTACAAGCAAGCTGAGCAGATAAAAGAAGCCTCCGAAAACCACCTTGTTGCTTTTCTTCCCCCCCAAAAAAACCCCCACAGAGACACATATTGGGGTGAAATGCTTTGACATTGCCGCCTCTGTTCACCGGTGTGTCTAGACAACCCCCATGTTAATCGTCTACAGCCCACGAGATCAAGCGCCTTGCATTTCCTTCCTTGCCGATACGAGCCAACGAGCATGTTGGATAGGCCGTACTAATGACGGACTCTTGCTTGCCATCTGGACCTTGGATTTAGATGATAACAACGCTTTCCTCCTATCCATTTTGTGTGAGTGTGTGTGTCAGTGTGTGCTTTTCTGCGCCATCTTACCAAGACCAGAGAAATCATGCTACTGTAGTTGAAGCAGCGGCGTGAGTTGAGCTGCGCGGTATTGAAGCCTCACGTCTCAGGGGAATGGCAGAATAAATAGTCAGTCGAATGAGAGAGTCAGGGAAAAGGCATTTAGCCTTTTAGGTTGTGGGAATCAATGGGCAATGAGATTTAAGATTACAGACAAACCAGATGACTGAAAGGTTTGGAACCTGCGGCCTTTAGGAAGTAGATTCACATTAATGAGGAATTGGTACATGCACATCAAACCACTCTCCTAATAAGGAAATTCTAGAAGGCTCTCTTGATAACAAACTTTTTTTCAAAGACCTCCAATAGACTGACCTCGATAGTACTGTGCATGCTCACCATGAGAAGGTTCTTGTTCTCCCTAGAAATGTATAAAAGAAAATAATTATTTGCAATTTTACTCGCTTTCTTTGGGAAGCACATTACAATTTTTTGGAATACATAGGACGGAAAATTTAATGCTTGCATTATACAGCGTAACTTGTCGAAGAACCGGATATCATGATTGAAAAGCAGCTTGGTGTTTTTGTTGTCTTGAAAAATCAGTTTTACTTGATATCCTCCAAATCTTCAAACGTTTTTTTTTTTTCTGAACAGGATTTCTTTTGGATGCTGTGGCCGCTTCACCTCTGCAGAAATAATGTCCTTTTGTCTTGCTGTCATGCTGGTGTTCCTCTGGGTCATGACTGGCCATTGGCTGCTCATGGATGGTAAGTCATGAATAATTATTCAGGATAATGAGTTATGAATAATGTAAATTATGAGCTACCGGTAGATGACTGTGGCTGGCTGTTGGATGATGTGGAGGGTTTTGGCATGAATATGAATGACTTGCTGTTATCCATTTTATACAGCTTTCTTTCCTTTGGGGTTTGATGGAGAACAAGTCATGGATTTCTATGAAAGTACTAGTATGGAAATGAATCAAGAGCAGCTCTGTGGTTGAATTGGTCTGGCAGTTGAATGTTTATGGTTAACAAGTCTGGACTGTAAACTCATGAATTACAGCTGTTCCGAGATTAAGCTCTCTCTGTCCGTGGCAGTGAGTGGATGTTTGCAAAATCTAAGTTATGAAAATTCACCACATGTATTAGTGAATAGGATAATCTACAATGCTTTGAACAGTCATGTCTGGCCTTAGACATGAAAACCCATAAAATCCCATTCATAAGCATGTAAACAAAACACTAGGGAACATTATGTTTGTAACCTCATGTGCAGTGCGATATGGTCGATACTGTACTTTGGGCAGCCAATGTTAATGAGACTGTTGATTGATGTAATATGCAGTTCAAGGAACCACATCCCAGAATCTCATTCAAAATGGCATTTAATGTGTTTTAATGTGGCGATGCCAGCTGTTCGTGGGTTGTTGTGTTGGCAGTGAACCGATCTAACATTTCCAAAATTGAACATCAACCGAAAATAGCGGTTCTGTTTCAGACACAATAGCACTGCAAATTGGGCCTACGTAGACAACTTGAGTCCAAAGTTGAAGAAATGTTTTCCTTGTCCCAGAATGATTGTACCGGTATCTCCCAGTTTGCTGTCAATATGAAAATATGTGTATGAAGCAAAGTGGGAAGTTGTCGTTTGGTGATTGAAAAAGCAATATCTCCTGCTGATATCTCTTAAGTCTCTCATGTTGCTACTCAACAAAATGAACACTCCCAACCCATATGGCTCTTTTCAACCAATGAGGGGGTGCTTCTGCTCGAGGTGGACGGATACTACGCTTACAGACAATAATGCTTCATAGTTGTTGGCTCATTCATGAGTTAAGCGATGGTTCTGAAGGGGATTGAAACTGCTGTGAGACAGCCCCAAACTCAAAGCTGGCCAAACTGTTTTGACCAAATTTTCCTAATAAAGAGAATCGTCCTCACAGTATGGTTAAGGCCAGGACGCATCAGCCAAAATGGGTTCGCACTGGTTTAAACTGAACCACAAGATTTAAATGCAAGTAACCTGATAGGGTCTGCACAGTGGCATTACATACCCAGTGGCAGTGATCTTCAAGATTCAGTCCATCCTCAGTTTCTGCTAGAAAGGGCACTTGTGCATTGAATCTTGGAGCCGTTTACTGAAACAGGTCAACAACTTGAGAGATAAGCAGCCATCTTGGTTCCAAAGCTCAACCCGCATATCTCAGTAGACACTTTTGACTCGTGTTTCTTCGCAATAACAATCAGTCGTCCGACTTTGTTCTGCCATTTTCCTATCTGTTAGCGACGTGTTGTGCCACGCAAATCAACTCACCCTTCAGGGAATCTCTGTCACATAAGTTGAATCCACACCAAATTAATGATAATGATTTTAAGTGTATTCACACCAACACGTTTCTGTTCAAAAACAAATCTAGAAAAATGAAAGAAGAGGCACACAGAGATGGTTGAATGCTGAAGAAATGAGTGGAAATAACGCCAATTGAATTCAAAGTGCCAGTGCAGGTATTGAGCCATCAAAATGATTGTCATATAAAAGCTGAGGGGGAGGGGTTTAATGTCAGACAGTGGCTTGTGCCAACTTCATGCATAATGCATTAATACCTTGTGAGGAAGTCAGGTCTAGAATCTATTCCCTTAGCTTCCCTCTTCGGAGGCATCTCCCCCCCCCCTTCAAGTTCTCTGGCAGCCTTTCCAGCTCCTCCACCTTTGTCCTCGTTTGTCAGGCATTTTGAGCGAGGTGGGTAATCTGACACCCTGTGCGCAGAGGCTGCTCATGGATTTTGCGAGTCTCTGCTGAAGCCCTCATTCGTAGGCATCTCTGTCGGTTGTTGGATGAGCCTTTTTAATTGAGTATTCAGGAAGATTTTTTTGTGTGCGATCTGCGAACGTTAAAAGTACGCATGTTTTTTTTTGTTTAGGGGGGAGGGAGGGATGCAGTTGCAACGTACATGTAGCCAAATGAATGGCTCTGTCTGTTTTTAACCATGTACATGTATGTCATAGAGATTTCCTCCTCTTTCTCCACATTGAAGGGTTGATGAATTCCCTAGGCACTGTCAATATCGTATTTTGGCCGATACTAATATATCAGTTTTTTATATCGATATTATCTAGATCAAAATTTATTCATTTTAAGTTTCAAGTTTTTATAACTGGCGTGAATGGCTGGTAAATTGTTCAAAGGGTACACCCCTACACCGTAATGGTGTGATCCAATTCACTTGGGCGAAATGTTCTAGCGTCCGCATTGCGTACGTTGCCTACATGGGATGGGATACACGCATAGCGATTTCATTGGCACGCGGTCTAGTCTATGTACGTTTGGTTAGCAAATCTCAGTTTGGAGGATAAATTTTGCGATATTTTTGAGGCAAAGTGTATGCGAATTATTGAGTGCGAGACTGAGTTAGGTGACTGAATTTATCCTTCAAATGTCGCCGTATAAGCCGCCAGGAGTATACGCTACAGGGACATTTTTCACTCCGTTTGAGAACCAACGTAAGCCATGGCTTATCGAAAATGAAGGGTAATGTGACAATACGCTTCCATATTTTTCAATAGAGTTCGTTCCTCAGCAGCAGTATTTTCGATATATTTTTCAATATCGTTGTTCTCAAAGTTTCGATATTTTCGATATATTGATATTACCAAATAACTTACATCGGCGATATCGATATCAAGCCCATATTGATATATCGACAGTGCTTAGAACTCCCTGCACTTTCTGTATCTGTATCTCCCTCAGTTATTTCAAACTTCTCCCACACCACCTCCCAGTAGAAATTTTCTTGGCACAGTTTTCTAAAGGTGGCCCTGATAAGCATTAGCTGACTTGTGTGGAGGAGTGCATGTTATTATGATGACTTTGGTCAGGAGTTAAGGTTGCTATGGTAAGATGGATCCAGTATTAAAGTGCTGGTGTACGAATCTGACAGTTGACCTTTTTCCCCATGTGACTTGATTGCACTAAATTTAACAAGACCACCACATGTGGACCGCCTCCGCCACGGTGATCGCATAATCCCATGGGCAGCTTCAACCAGGTACAAGCGCACGTGCGAATACTGCATGCTTGACTAGTTTATCTTGAATAAGTAGATGACCATCACAACACTGTGCACTCATTATCATCACAACACGTCGTGGTCCAGCACGATTGTGACATCACAGGAAAAAGGTCTATATACATGCAGATGTGAGAGGCTAAGAAACCACAAGTTTCTGTTTGTATGGCCAGCGAGCAGCCATTGAAGTACATTGCTAATACGCATCATTGAGGCAGGAATTTCTCATCTTGGCTGCATTGTGAGATTTCATCCTTTTGTGCATCTGTCCATAATGAATTGATTATATGGCAGGCGACTTTACTTAAATATTGAGGACTGCACAGTAACAAATTAATAGTATTATCAATCCTGTTGAGTATATTGCAGGTTTGCACAATGGGCAGATTCTTGACTTTTGGGGATCCCGTTGATATTATGGTGTTTATTATTCAAGAAAAATTGTGAACATCTGGTACCAGGAGGATTTCCTTAAAGGAGTAGGTACATGTACGTTGGGTGGAGAATTTAAGACAAAAGTTAATGGATGGACTCTTTGTTGCCGCTTTAGTATTCATGTGTTATTGCAAGCGACCAATCAGAGGGTCTATCTATAATTCAAGTGTTAACATAATAATCTCTCTCACACTGCTGCAATTCAGGGTGGTAATTGGATCATGATTAATACTGGTGACCAGCAGGTACGATGGGATATCGATACAGTGCAGGTAGATGTTGTGGGCGCCATCTTTAACTTGGATGTAATGGGTCAGTGCTTGTCTCACAGAGGCTGTCCTTGTGAGGCAGCAATTAAACTCTCATTTTTTTTGCGTAGCTGGGCGAACACAAAATTGATTTTGTGTACAGCATGTTCTGGGAGATCAACATATGATGTGCAATTTTGTGGTGTGCAGAAGATGTTGCCTCGGATCAACTTATTTTCTCTTCTTCTTGTCTGAAAAAAGTGGAAATACGTCATGGCTACCCCCCCAAAAAGAAATAGAACATTTTGTACAATATGGTAGTGTACCTGCATAAATCTCTGTCATCTGATTAGTGGATCATTGATCACATGTCAGTGAATTATTTATTCTGTGAATAGAAAGGAAAAAGAAGGCCTATCCAACAGTACCCGTTGAATAGAACTGCCTTCACTTGACTGGTCCCCGCCCCCATTTCATGCATACATGTGTCTCATTTCCAGTAAGAAAGAGGAAAATAATATCAGTCTAACATTGCACAGTATGCCAGTTGGCAGTGCTTCAAACACAAATCTGTTTGGCAAAATAACGGGTGTCAATACTTGAGGGCGACATAGTTGCTCTCCTAACAGAAGAGGATTTGTGCAGGTACTGTATAAAACAAGTAATGAATATTTATGAGTGCAATAGTAACTATATTTTCATTAGGTGACAGATGAAAATGTCCTTTGCTTCATGGAATCGAGCATTTCATCTGTCAACTCGTGAAATCATTCTTTACCACTTCACTCCTAAACATTGGTTATTTTACATGTACAGTCGAACTATGTCAAGAAGAGCACTGTTAATACAAGATTCTGCTTATAACAAGGACATTTTAGGTCCCAATCCTTTGTTTTTCATTGTTTTATTCCTCGTAATACAAGGTTCCTGTTATAACAAGGTAATTATCCAAGTCCAAACGACCTCTTATTAATGAGGTTTGACTGTACATGTACTCGGGTGGATTTATTTAGAA